AGGGCCACATTCGCTGAGGTAAGGAAAGACCGCCTGTGGGCATTCGTTAGTGCGCATCTTACTCTCTGGCTAACTTCTCTTCTGCCCTCTTTCAAATGGGGGTGGCCTTCAGACTCATCCTTGGCTCCCGTACCTCTTCCTGCTCTGCAGTATGAACTCTTTCTAAATGACCTCACCTATGTGATGGCTTTAGTAATGGGTGACAAGCAAATTACTCCCAAGTTTTGTCTACAGTTCAGGCTTTCATATGGTCCCCAATACCTACTCATTTGAAATTTCCTCTGGATTATCACAAAAACTCCTCAGACACCTAAATGCCATCCATGATACCTTCCTTTCCCTTATATTTCAACTCTTAACTGTCATGTTCAAGTCATTACCAACTGTAGTAGATTTTAACATCTAAATATTTCTTAACTTTATTTCCTTCCATCTCTGTTATCAGGGCTCTAATATTATATAGCAGCATGTTTTGGAAAAATAAAAATAAAAATGCTGACCTCTTTTTTACAACTGTAATACTTTAAACAATAAAGATAAAAATTTTTAAAAAGTTGAGATAATTGTAGATTCACATGTATTGTAATAAATAATAGAGACAGATTCTGTGTACCCCTTGTACAATTTATGCCAATGGTAACATCTTGCAAAACTATAGTATAATATCACAATCAGGATATTGACATTGATATATTCAAGATACAGAACATTATCATCACCATAAGGATGCTTCCTATTGTCCCTTTTTTAAAAAATGATTTTTAGAGCAATTTTAGGTTCACAGCAAAATTGAACAAAAAGAACAGAAATTTCCCATCATACCACTTTCCCCCACACATGTAAAGTCTCCCCCATTATCAACATCCACGTACCCCTTCGCAGGAGTAGTATATTTGTTACAATTGATGAACCTACACTGACACATAATGATCATTCAAAGTCCATTGTTTATATTAGGGTTCACTCTTGGTATACATTCCATTGGTTTAGAAAAATGTATAATGACATGAATCCATCATTATGGTGTAACACTGAGTATTTTCATTGCCCTAAAAATCCTCTGTGCGCTACCTATTCATCCTTCCTCCCCATCCTGCTCCAGCAACCACTGATCTTTATATTGTAAAAATAGTTTTGCCTTTTCCAGAGTGTCATATAGTTGGGATCACGTAACATATAGCTTTTTTAGATTGGCTTCTTTCACTTAATATTTATTTAAGATTCCTCCATGTCTTTTCATGGCTTGATAGTTCATTTCTTTATATGAGTAATATTCCATTGTCTGGATGTATCACAGTTTATTCATTCCCCTGCTAAAGGGTATGTTCTTATCAAATGGTCACTTGGCCACACCCTTAATGTTTTCTTCTGACCATAATTTCTCATTTTTCACAACATAGAGTGTCCCAAAAATGTATTACACACTTTAACAGCTGATAGCTCAATTTTGAAAGTGAAATGTATTTTAAGAAACACTGCCTTCATAATTATTCAAAGTGTGTGTATACATTTTTTGGGGACCCTATAGGTAGAGAATTTTCAAATCCTTAGTTTCTGTTTTCTTTTTGCTTAATCATTTTACCTTTGAGTCATTTCTCTTTTTTCACATTGTACTATAAGCAGTCAGGAGGAGCCAAGTTGTACCTTCAACATGTTGCTTAGAAAGAGCTTTAGCTAAACATCCAGTTTCATCACTAGCAAGTTCTGCCTTTCATGAAATACTAGAACATGAACACAGTTCAGCCAAGTTTTTCGCCGTTGTAACAAGGATCACCTTTCTTTCAGTTTCCAATAACATATTCCTCATTTCCACCCCAGACCTCATCAAAATGATCTTTACCGTCTATATTTCTACCAACATTCCATTCAGATTGACTCAGGTTATTTTTTAAGAAGACTAAGGCTCTCTCTACTGCGCTTTCTTTTCTTTCTGAGCTCTCACCAGAATTCCCCTTAATGGTTTGTTCATGGCAATGTAGATTTTTTTATTTTGTACCTCAAAACTCTTCTCGTCTCTATCATTACCCAGTTCTAAAGATGCTTCCACATCTGTAGGTACTTTTTACAGCAGCACCTCTCTTCTCAGTACCATTTCTCAGGTTGCTATAACAGAATAGCATAGGCTGGGTGGCTTAAACAGCAAACATTTATTTCTTACAGTTGTTGAGACTAGGAAGTTCAAGATCAAGGCATTGCAGATTTGGTGTCTGATGAAGACCTACTTCCTGGTTCATAGATGGTGTGTTCTTGCTCCTAATATCATCTCACTGGGGTTAGGATTTCAATATGTGAATTTTTTTTTGGGGGGGGGGACCAATAACATTTCAGTCTACAGCACAATGTAGTATTTTTTTTAGAAAGTTCTTATTAAAATATATTTAGTAAACATTGTAGCAACAAAGGAGGGACCAAATAAGTATTTAAAGCCCTCATAATCTTACCTTTATTTCTATAAGACTGTGATTAGGTGCTTTTTAGTCTAATCATATTCTGGTGGCTTAGCTGTTATTCACTTTCCTATGACCATTAGTTATCTCTGCTTAAGTTTTAAAAAATTATATGTCAGTAAAGATGTATTTCATGGTAGGTTTCAAGCTTAAGGAAGAAACAAGCATTTCATCATTAATTAAAAGGAAATAACCTCTCCCCCCAAAATGTAAACTTGTTGAACATGTTACTAATCTAAATTTTTGAAAACCTTTCCTTACATTGTACCTGTCAGCACACATTGTACTTCACATAAGTTTTGCACTCCCCAACTTCCTCTTCCTTTGCAAAAAGGAGAGCAAATATACAACCTGTGTGTCTTCATAGTTATCAATGGCTTGTTGAGATATCTTCGCTCAAAACCCTTCGTCTCTCACTCACAGCTATATTTCAGATCCCTTTTGGTAGTTTAAGAAACACTAATGCCTTATATATAACATTAACTTTGCTTTGCCCTGTGAACAGGGCAAATGAATGTTTAAAATAGTTCATGTGATATCTTTTTAGTAGCATTCATTACCAAATCAAGCAAAAATGTAAATAGGATAAACCTGTTATACTGTTTTCCTTACAATCCATTTTAGCCACAATTCTACTACATGGAAGCAATCACTTGATTGGTTCATTAACAATTTATAACCATTTATTAATTGACATTCTTCAGATATCATGTTAGTCTTAGTAGGAAGAATAAAGAAAAAATACAATCTACCAGCTCCACTCTACCAGTACTGTACCACTTTCTATGGTGATGGTGGAAATGCTCTCCATCTACATTTTCGAATATGACAGCCTCTGGCCATGTTTGGCTATTGAATGCTTGACGTGTAGCTAGTGTGTCTGTGGAGTTGAACCATTAATTTAATTTTTCTTATTGACAGTTTCATTGGGAAATAATTCACATACCATATAAGTTCACCCACTTAAGGTATAGAATTCAATGGTTTTTAGTGTATTCACAGAGTTGAGCCGCCATTACCACAATCAATATTAGTACTTTCCATCACCTCAACAAGAAACCCAATGTTAATTAGCAGTAGCTCCCCTGATTTTTACAACTTCCTTAGACCTAGGTAGCCATTAATCTGTCTCCACAGTTATGATTCTTTTGGATTTTTCATGTAAATGGAATCACATATATAATCTTTTGTGACTAATTTAATTTTATTTAAGTTCAATTGCCACATGTGGCTAGTGGCTACCATAAGAAGCAACTGAACTAAAAGACAAAGTACAGATGCTTAAGAAATGCTGAAAGCTGAGGAGAAGGTACTCCTGCAAGACAAGTAAGAGAGATTAAAGATGAAGCTTAGAGATGACAGGTTTCTGGAAGATGGGATAATCTGTTAATAACAGTACTAAATAATAAAGAGGGGTCAGCGTGGTGAAGAAGGGCAGGCAGGTGGCACTTTTATACCATTTAGAGATGGAGGGAAGATCACTTGAGAGGGATGACAGGATTGATGGAAATTCTGTTTTGTTGCTGTTAATATTTTTAGTGTAGGCATGAGCCTATAAGTAGGCAGTAGACAAGAATCCAGTGGAAGTACAGAGGTTCAAGGTGTTTGAGCAGGGTTCTGGGAGATGTTGGTTAAAGCAGCACCAAGGTCATTAGCATGGGAGTAAGCCCTGCTAAGAAAGATAGAGGTCATGTTTCTCAGAGGCAGGAGTGAGAGAAGAAAAAGTAGGCCAAGATACAGAGAAATTTTTACATAGAAAAGAAAGGAAACCAAAGGAATGTATTTACTTAAAGAAAGTGGGAAGAAATCTTTCTGAGGGTAAAGTTTGGTTCCTCCAAACTCTACTGTGATCAAATGTGGAGAAGAAGGTGCTGAGAAGTTCTCCAGAGAGGCTAGGATTATGGGACGTGGGAATGTTGATTACTTCTCAGTATTGCTGTCTAAATGTCTGTCTCTCCAAAAAGGGACAGACATTTTCAGGTAGATAAGCCACAAGAGGTCCAGGATCCAGATATGTCCATTTTCACTTACTAAAGAGTGAAAACTGCACAAGTTTGCATCTGAGGTTTTCAAAGATGAAATGTAGTTGCATCAGTGCATGCGTCCCTCCTCTTTCCCGTTCCTTCCTTCTGCTTTCATTTTTCCCATCTATTCATATAGTTTGTAGAAAACAATGTACCCTCTTGCTTTGTCCTACAAGAAAAAAGTGGAAACAAAACACAAAACTTTGGGAAAATTCAACATTATTCGTGTTGTAATGAATACAGAATTTCACATTATGAGCTGTAATAAAATTCCAGTATTTTCTTCATTTTCCTAGATTATTCTTCCCTCCCATGTCATAAAACTGGAAGAGCCAGAAAGTGCTTTGAAAATCCCAAATGAAAGCCACTATGCAAATATAAGTGGAAAATATACTAATTCGTTGATACTGACTTAATAACATTGCTTCAGAACCAGCTTTTTATATAGAAGTTTTAAAAATTAAAGCCAACTTTTGTGGTATTCTCAATATATAAAATTATATATTTATGTGTGCAATTTTTATTTTAGGCTTTTAAAACCAAGGATGGCTATCTTGTAGTTGGAGCAGGAAATAACCAACAGTTTGCTACCGTGTGCAAGGTAACTTGTGATCTTTGGGGTGGGTGGATGATATATGCAACAACTCATTTAGCAAAAAGCCAGGAAGGTTTAATTTTGCCTAGAACAGTGTTGCTAAGTATATAAGCAATGCAAGAGCCTCCTGTGTTAGACTTAAGTTAAAGTACGCCATTTTCATGCTTATAAATGCCAAGTACAGGGTCTGAATCAGCACTCTCACTGTTTTATTATTTTTTTCTGAGGTATCGGGCTGTATTTTGAAATGAAGAATGATAGTAACTTAAATTATTCTAAAACCTGACCTGTCTGCCAGTCCAAACAAAAGGAAACAAACAATAACAATAACATAATTAAAGGGAATCTTCAACACTAGTTTTTTTCCTCCCTCCTTTTTTCTTCCTTTCCCTTTTTTCTTCTACAATGTGGGTCTAATTAGGCCCAAATATAATCTTCTACCAAATTTATTTTATTTATCACCAGAAAATTTTGTAAAACTTTGAAGTATTTTAATGATTACCTTTCTGCAAAATTTGTTTTAAGATTTTAGCATACAGTTTTATAAAAAATGTTGCTCCTCATAAGGCCTTAAAAAGTGGCCTTGGATTCATAATAATTTTATGTTGAAGATACTCTTTTTTTTATTAAAAATATTTTTTTATTGATTTTAAAGAGGAAGGGAGAGGGAGAGAGAGATAGAAACATCAATGATGAGAGAGAATTATCAATTGGCTGCCATGCCGTGACCAGGAATCAAACCATGACCTCTGGTTCATAGGTCATTGCTCAACCACTGAGACACACCAGCCAGCCTGAAGATACTCTTATTTTTTAGCAGTGCTTAGGAATTTAAAAAAAATTTAATGTTTTGCATTTATCTAGGCTCTTCTTGGTCCTTTTTTTTTTTTAACTTAAGGCCTTAGATTTCAGTTTACTTTTTCCAGTTGTAATGCCATAAATATAATCTAGTTCTTTAAAACAAAATGCGTGTGTTTTTTCCTTGCTTATAGGCAAAGGCCTCAATTACTGAGGATGTTTTTCCTGGTTGGGAATTTTTTTTTTTACTAACTTACTAACTATAGTACCATGAGCTTTCAGTTTTATTAAAGATGCCTATGAGTTCCTTATAGGAACCTTATTTATTGTGGTTAACTTATTATGTACAAAACTTATTTATTACTGTGCCTCTTTCGACTGAGAGGTTAACGAGCAGAGCTAAAAACCACAGCAAAGGGGTGGGAAGTACCACAGAGAAGGTGACAAATGGAGATAGTTCTGGTTGGAGCAAGGGCTGGAACATCTGAGGTGGGGACGAGGGGGGCTTTTATAATGGTTTCTCTGAATGAGTGTAGAGAAAATTGATTCATACATTTGATCTGGGATCAAAGAATCTTTATTGTGAACGGTCAATGTTAAAAATATGAAACATACGGAAGCTGTTGCCTATGAAGTCATTTGTGTACTCTAGCTCCAGAGATGTAAAAGCCAGTTCATTGCTATAAATGAGTACAGATTGTCTTCCTGGGCCATATGTTTTGGAGTTTTCTCTCTCCAGAAAAGGTGGGGGAGGAGAGGAGAGAAATCACTGGTTGACATATTCTTTACTGTTGAAAATAACTGTACTGAATTCTTTTTATTTTTGATTCATTATTGCTGATTAATTTGAAACTTTTGAACTTCCTCATAAATATCCATAAGAACATTTATTGGAAAAGATTTTTATTTCAAAGCAGGATATTTGCCATAAATTATAGTACTAAAATATGAGTTATTGTTGAGTGTTATGACACATTGTTTTTAAAAAAAGGCTATCAGAGGGCTTTGGGGAATGGCATACTGACCTTGTTTTTTCCACATGTGAGGTAGGAATGATAATTCCTATTTTGACCCATTAAGACAGTATCTATAAAATTCTGAGATCTTCAGAAAAAATTGTATATAAGATTTTAATGTTATTTACATCATTTACTAGGCATATTGAGCAAACATTGCAATCTGATTGGCTTTTTCAAACTTCCTAATTATATCCTTACATGTAAACTTGTTTTAAAAACCCTTTTCACCTAAGAAGTATCACCTATGTCCTTATTTACTTTATTATTTTTTTAAAAAATCTTCACTCAAGGATTTTTTTTCTTTTTTAGAGGGAGAGGGAGTGAGAGAGAAAGAAACATCGCTATGAGAGAGAAACATCAATTTGTTGCCTCCCGTATGTGCCCCAACCAGGGATCAAACCCGCAGCTTGGGTATGTGCTTTGACAGGGAATCGAACCTGTGACCCTTTGGTGCATGGGATGATGCTCCAACCAGCTGAGCCACACTGGTCAGGACACCTGTGTCCTTATTTTGATGTAAGATTTCCCCCCTCCCAACGGTAGTGGGTGAGTTTCTTCTAAGTATTTTTTTATTCAGATATATCTCATACTGAGAGGCTTGTCATTCAAGCTGGCTTTATTAGAAGATGAGATCCCCAGTTTTTGACAGTGAGCCCATCAAGATTGCTCTTTTGCCAAGTAAGATCCACTTTGAAATATATGGCCACTCTACTTCCCTACCTCCTGGGGAGAAATGTAGCAATATTGTCTGCCACAAATGAGTAGAATTCACTTAGGCCTAATCTCTTCCCCAAGTAAAATTTGATATTCTGCTTAACTAACACTTCTTGGGGAGGTTCCTGTTAGGGAGCTCTTAATGTCAGGGATTAGAGTGAGGGCAAGAACATTGGGTTCAAAGCTTGGGGTTGAGAATATCTTCCTGCATATAAAGTGAACCTTGCTTTATAAAACATCCCACTTTATGGCCCTTAACATGATACAGAAGAGTAGGGAATGTGAGCATATGTAAGATATTTCAAGCTGATTGATGCCAACTCTAATGGGTATTCCTATTTGAAGTATATTGACATCCTTTTAAAAGTTATTTGGACTTAAAGTTTCTTTTATTGGAGGCAATATGCACTGGCTCCCAACTTCAGCATGCATAGCAAATGTCCATTCCCAAAGATTTTGACTTAGTATGTCTGAGATGGGGCACAGGAAGGGATCACTGAAGGGCCCACACACAGACTTGTCCAACCTGGGCACCGAGAAAAAACCGGTTTAAAGGGCACCTACATATATGGGAAGTACATTCATTTACTAACCCTAGAGCATTTGCCAAACATGTGGGCCACTATGGGAACTCCCTCTAATGTCAGAGACACAGAAGCACACCCTTTGTTTTGCTGCCACTCCACCTTGATTTCATGAGCACAAACACAATCCAGAAGTCCTAGGCAGAAATTCGTGCATGGGGGCGTGGGTCCCCTCAGCCCAGACTGCACCCTTTCTAATCCGGGAACCCTTGGGGGACATCCCTCTCACAATCCTGTACCGCTGGCCCCTAATTGCTCACCTGCCTGCCTGCCTGGTCGCCCCCAACTGCCCCCTTCCTGCTGGCCTGGTTGCTCCTAACTGTCCCCCCCCACTGGCCTGGTCACCCCTTACTGCCCCCCCTGCTGGCCTGGTTGCTCCCAACTACCCCCCTCTGCCGGCCTGGTCACCCCTCATTGCCCCCCCCTGCCAGCCTAAATTACCCCCAATTGCCCCCTCCTGCCTGCCTGGTCACCCCCAACTGCACCACCCCCACCGGCTTAGTTGCCCCACTTGCCCCACCCCCGCTGTCCTGGTCGCCCCACGCAGCCTGCTGTTCAGTCATTTGGTCATCCCTCACTAACTCCCCTGCCAGCTGGATCGCCCCACACAGCCTGCTTGTTCATTCGTTTGGTTGTCCCTCACTAACCCCCCTGCGGGCCTGGTCATAGGCAGCCATCTTGTGAGGGTGTGCGGGTTAATTTGCATATTACCTATTTATTATATAGGATGAAGGCCTGGGGCAGGGGGAGGAGGCAGGCTATAAGGGTTCAATGGGGAAAAATGGGTACGTCTGTATAACTTTAAACAATAAAGATAAATTTTTAAAAAGCAAGTGCCTTCATTAAATCAAAGCTTAAATTTATAAATCTGGTCTCACCCAGAATATACTTTAGCTACATATAACACTACTCTGTGACTGCACTCAAGGGTAACTGATTTTACTTATTGGACCTCTTTTCTCCTGTGTCCTTATTTGACTTATTGGACCTCTTTTCTCTTTGGAAGTGTTAAACAGTGAGCAAAAGTAATGTTTCTAGAGAAACTGCTTCGTGTGTTATGATCATACTCATTCTAATTATTCTTTAGGTGCTTTAAAGAGTGCTGCTTCAGAAAAAATAAAACAGCGTAAACAAAAGTGCTTTATCTATTAAGCACTAAACAAATGTCATGTACTCCAACTAGGTACTATTTTCCCTAAAAGAAATAAAAAGCATTTGCTTGTTCAAAACAGAATGGCAAAGAGGGAGGAAGAATGCTTTCACTTAACCTTCATTTTAAAAGGATATTTTTATTGGGTATAGAATTCTGGGTTGACAGTTTTTTCCTTTCAGTCCTTTAAGCACATTGTGCCACTTCACTCTGGGTTATGTAATTCCTAACAAAAAATCTGCAATCAGTTGAGTCAATATTCTGCTATAGGTAATACATCATTTTTCTTGGGGGAGTTTCAAAATTTTTATCTTTGTCATTAGTTTTCACCAGTAAGATTTTGTTGTATTTGGGCATGGATGTAGTGAGGTTTATCCTATTTGAGGTTCTATGAAATTATTAAATCAGTAGGTTTTTAATTTTTACCAAATTTGGGAAGTTTTCAGCATATACTCTTTCTCCTCTCCTTCTGTGAGTACAATAACCTAAATATTAGACTTTTTGCTATTGTCATACTGATCCTTGAAGATGTGTTCTTTCATTTTTCGGGGGAGGGGATTAGTTTTCTTCTTTCTGTGGTTCAGATAGAATAATTTCTAGTTATCTATTTTCAATTTTTTGATTGTTTACTCTGTCATCTCCATTGTGCTATTGAGCTCACTTAGTGAAGTGTTTCTTTTTTTATTTAGCTGTATTTTTTAGTTCTAAAATTTCCATTTGGTTCTTCATATCTTCTATTTCTTTGCTGATCATTTCTACTTTTCCATATAGTTCTTTTAATATATATTTTTAATTATAGATGACATGCAATATTATTAGTTTTAGGTGTACAACATAGTGATTCAATATTTATATACCTTACAAAGTGATCACCATAATAAGTTTAGTAATTACCTGTCACTGTACATAGTTATTACAATATTATTGATTATATTCCCTATGCTATATATTACATCTTCATGAATTGTTTAGTTTATAACTGGACATTTGTACTTTCCCCTTTATTGTCCCCTATCCCCCAATCACCTTACTGGTAATAACCATCAGTTCTATCTAGGAGTTTGCCTCTATTTCATTTTGTTTATTTGTTTTGTATTTTTGATTCCTCATAAAAAAGAAATCATAGCATATTTGTTTTTTCTGTCAGACTTATTCCACCTAAAAAAATGCTCTCTGTTCCATTGTTCTATATGATCCAAACTTTTTTCCATAGTGGTTGCATCAATCTGCATTTTCACCAACAATGCACTAAGGTTTCCTTTTCCCTGCATCCTCCCCAACACTTGTTGTTTGTTAATTTATGGATGGTAGCCATCTGACAAGTGTGAGGTGGTATCTCATTGCAGTTTTGTTTTGCATTTCTCTGAGGATTAGTGACGTTCAGCAACTTTTCATATGTCTATTGGCCATCTGTATGTCCTCATTGAAGAAGTATCTATTCAGGTCTTCTGTGGACTTTTTTCTCCCCACTTTTTTAAAAATTGATTTCAGAGAGGAAGGAAGAGGGAGAGAGATAGAAACATCAACGATAAGAGAGAATCATTGATCAGCTGCCTCCCACACACCCCCTACTGGGGAATCGAGCCCACAGCACAGGCATGTGCCATGACCTGGAATGGAACCTTTTCTTCCTGGTTCATAGGTCAACTGTCAATCACTGAACCACACTGGCTGGGGTCTGCCCACCTTTTAATTGGGTTGTTTGAGCTCTTTATGAATTTTGGATATTAACCCCTTATCAGATGTATCACTGGTGAATATCATCTCTCACTCATTAGATTTTCTTTTTATTTTGTTGATTTTTTCCTTTGCTGTGTAAAAACTTTATAGTTTGATGTATTCCCCTTTGTTTATTTTTCCTTCCCCCCCCCCTTGCCCAAGCATATATATATCAGAGAAAATATTGCTAAGAGAAATGTCCAAGATTTTACTGCCTATGTTGTGTTGTTTTATGTTTTATAGGTTTCGGGTCTTACAGTGAAGTCTTTAATTCATTTTGAGTTTATTTTTGTATATGATGTAGTTTCAATTTTTTGGCATGTATCTGTCCAATTTTTCAAACACTATTTATTGACTAGACTATATCCCATTGTCTGTTCTTGCCTCCTTTATAAAAAAGTAATTGATCATATGGTGTGGTTTTATTTATGGGGCGCTCTATTCTGCTCTATTGATCTATATGTCTGTTTTTATGCCAGTACCATGCTGTTTTGATTACTGTAACCTTATAGTATGGTATGATATCAGGTTGATATTTATTTTGTATCCTGCTACTTTACTGAATTAATTTATCAGTTCCAGTAGGTTTTTTGGTGATATCTTTAGTGTTCTCTCCCTATATAGTATCTGCAAATAATGACAGTTTTACTTGTTTCTTTCCAATTTGGATGCCTTTTATTTTTTCTTCTTGTCTGATTGCTGTGGCTAGAAGTTCCAGTATTATGTGGAATAAGAATGTTGAAAGTGGACATTTCTGTCTTGTTCCTGATCTTGAGGGAAACGATTTTTGTTTTTCCCCATTGACTATGATGTTGGCTGTGGATTTATCATTTATGGGCTTTATATTGTGGTATGTCCCCTTTATTCACACTTTCCTGAGAGTTAATATCATAAATGGGTGTTGGATTTTGTAAAATGCTTTTCTGCATCTATGAATGTAATCATATGATTTGAATCTTTCATTTTGTTAATGTGGTATAACATATTAATTGATTTGTTGATAGTGTATCAACTTTGCATCCCAGGATCATGGTGTATGATATTTTTAATATATTGCTGAAGTCGGGTTGCTAATATTTTGTTGAGGATTTTTGCATCAATATTCATGAGGGATATTGGCCTATAATTTTTTTTCTTTGTAATGTCTTTACCTGGTTTTGGAATTAGGGTTATGCTGGTGTCGTGAGCTTGTGTGTCTTCCCTACTCTTGAATTTTTTAGTGTAGTTTGAGTTACTTCTCTCTCTTTTGTAAGATGATTAATGGATTATTTTATTTATAGTGTGGGAAACAAATGAAACCATTAAATGTTTTTATTTAAAGCAAATACATTAATAGATGTAGTGAAGCTTTCTGTAGGCTACATGCCCTGACCCTAGTCTATAAATGCTCCTGACTTTCCAACCCAACTGCCAAACTCTGCCTCCACATATTGTTTTTAAAACATCCATTCCAAACCCACTAGATACTTCTATTATGATCTTGTTAAGATTGCAGGATAGTGAGTGGAACTTGGCAGACAGATTTTTCGTTTATGGAGGAGGAGCCAAAGAGGAAGTATATAAAGCATTTTTATTTGTTATTCCTTCAGGGAGAGATATTAAAGAAAAATAGTGGTACTTGTATTAGAAGAATATCTTTAAATTTGACATTATTTTAATGGTGAGCATTTAGGGTAAATGTGTGTGTATTTTGCCTTTATTTTAGCATCTTGTACAACATCATGGATAGGACTAGCAGGACAGATAATATTTATTTACATGTGGAACAAATAAGTAAATGTAACTACAAGATATATGTTGATTAGAGGATTTCTGTAAGTGCGGACAGTCACAGCATCACGCACCCTAATGGCATGATTCTTCCCTCTAGTTTCCTTTGTTGCTCTTGTTGAGAAAAGGATAAAGACCAGCAAGGAATGGTCTTGGGGAGGGAGTGGTAGGCCTTGAACACTAATACCCACAGGCAGGTACGAGAAAAACTTATGAGTTATACATTAAAATTATTTTTCTCTTTTAGATCTTGAATTTGCCTGAACTGATTGATGACTGCAAGTATAAAACTAATCACCTTCGGGTACAGAATAGAAAAGAGCTTATTAAAATATTATCTGCACGGTAAGCTTTGATCTACTATTTGTACATTCAAGAATTATGTCATTAGCATTTATCTGGTGTTTTGTGGTGTTCTTTTTAGGCTTATTTAGATTAACTTGACTATTTTTTTTCCATCTCACAAAATTGGTTAATGGGAAGGTATTTTTAAAACTAAGTGTTTTCTTTATTTGAATGCATTTAAAAGCATTTTAATTGTCTTCTTAAGTACTTAGTCTTAACAGTGCTATAAACAAGATGTATTGATTGTCTGTGGCATGTTCTTTGGGGTTAGAACATCATGAATACCAACAACAACAATAATTAACATTAGTTTTTACCTTTACTTTCTTAAACACTCTACATACCTGATCTCTCTTAACCTTTACAATCATCCTGTGAGGTCAGCTTTATTATTCCCCTTCTTATAGACAAGGAAACTGAGACAAATAGAGGTTAAGTTAGGAGTTTTTTTTGGTTTTTCTGACCCTCGTCTGTGAAGTTTGTAATGATGTTTTGAAAATGCCATATTGAGCTATGGTCACAAGCATTAATGTTAATTAGAGTATATGATTTCCCAATTATTCCATTCACATCAGGTTATGCTTCTGTTAAAACCTGTACCAATTTGTCAAGTTTGCCTCAGAAGACTGTAGTAATTCTTAATTTTTAAAATCAGTTTTAGTTGTTTATTTCTACATTTCTAAATATATAAAATAGACTTTATGGTTTTTGCAGAATTAGATGCCCACTTGAGCTATTCTTCATGTATGGAACATTGGCTCTCATTATGCCAATAAATTATGTACTGTTGTTGAAATACCACATCTTGTGTTTTGAAAAGGCACTTGTATTTCTATGTAGTATATATCAAAGTTTTAGAAATTGAATTTCACTAATACAATATTTATATCTGTCTCCTTTATATCTGGGGCTTTCTACATGAGTCAACATTCATTACTTATATTTGCTCTCTCCTGGAGTTTAAGCACTTCCCCACACTGCCTGTATCTCCCCCATGTGCCAAAGGTTTTGCAGTCAATGGGAGCTCTGTGTGTGGGACTGATACGCAGAGAATGGGGGAATGAGAATGGGGCTCCCCTTCCTTAGTCATTAGTTAAATATAACTCTGATTCTACTGCAGAGCCTAAGAGCCCTCAATCATTAACCTTTCTCCACATGAGAACCGGCCAGTTAGTTCTGTTTTTGGCTTCTCAAGCAGTTTTTAATTCATTTAATTCATTGATACGACTTTTTTCTTTCACACCATGGTTACCAAGTTTCAATAATAGGCTCTTGTGAGAACCTTATAAAAGCTCTTTGATAGTCTAAATAAATCATATCCATTCTGTGAGAAGAGTAGACCCAAGGAAAATACAAAACCCAGGCAGATACAAGTGTCATCTTGCTATTTAGTTGCCAGCACTTTCATAACTTCAAGAACCTCGAAGTTAAGTTATTGGTTTCCTAAGTCCTAAAACTTGTATTCCTTGCTAAATTCTGTTAGAGAATTCTGCTGTGAGAATACTTTTAGCAGCACCTGTAACAGATTAATTTTTATTTTTCTCCTTAGGATGAATTAAATATTATCATATTTTTCCTACTCATATACACAGAAGGGGAATTTTAGCATTTTGGAACCCATAAAGTTTGTATGTCTTTATTTGTACTTAATAAGAAGCATTGATCAGACTGTCAAACCTCAGAAGGAAGGCAGGGGAGGGTGGGGGTAAGGGGAAGAGATCAACCAAAGGACTTGTATGCATGCATATCAGCCTAACCAATGGACACAGACACCAGGGGGGTGAGGGCATGTGTGGGAGGATGGCGGGGTAATGGGGGGATAAGGACAAATATATAATACCTTAATCAATAAAGAAAAAAAACAAAGAAGAGTCTAGGGAGTAGTCTTAAGAGAGGCCCTACTCAGATCACACACACACACACACACACACACACACACACACACACACACAGGCCTTGTTGTTTGGAGGCCAAGTTTCATGTGCTCTTGTTCTGGTATATTGACATTTTTTGGTGCTCTCTTGTGATAATGTAGTTCTTCAGTCTTTCCCAGCTCACGTCTCTTTTCCTATGTGGTGAATCAAACAGTGATGACCAGGGAGATTAGGATATGATTAATTCCCATTTATAACCTTGTCATTTGTTTTTCTGAACAAATGTCACTGGGTTCATTAGTACCGTCTGCTGCTCAGCTTTCAGAAGTCTCTGAACGTTTTAAAATTTACCATTTTATTATTCCGTGTCTTACTGATTTTCAAATGTTTAGTGACTCTCTGGCTCTCTACTAATTATAGTATGAAATCTGGTCTTTTTAGTCAGACATCATGATCTTTCATAATCTTACATGACCTTTCCTTTCTCTCTTTTTCTCAATATATGGCGCCTGCTCCAGCCACACTCCCATTTGGCTTCTTTTGTTCTCTCTCTGAAATGCTTCCCAGATTTGCCATTACTCTAGAACAGTCACGTTTCAACGTTAATTCTGCAACTTCATGAAATCATCCTCAAATGTCTCTATTTGGGTTCCCAGTCAGAAAAGAAGGTGTCCTTTTGTTCCTTGTATCCGGTTACCAAACAGAAACAGAATCCTCAGGAGTTGTTTTTGGGAAAGACATTGTTAAAGGTCTGCTCAACACATTGTTCCTTTCATTTAACAGCAATTGCGGAACTTGTGAATCATAGACACATTAGCTCCCAACCACGAAAAGGAGGCAGCGTAAAAGGAAGGAGAGGAATCAGCATTTATTTGAGGCCAAGGGTCTACCAGAAAAATATTATTAGTTTTTCTTTACAGATGAAAATTCTAAAGTATAGGGAGGTTAGTCTCAAAGTTAGACCCCATAGTGAATAGTTAGTTAGAAAAGATATTCAAAAGACAGAACCTTTATCACATATCATATTGTCTCCCTGAAGTGGTATATAAAATGTTATTGTGTCCTTGTTTATTCACTCAATAAACATTTTTCTCTCTTTATTGACTAAGGTATTACATATGTGTCTTTATCCCCCCATTGCCCCCCCACCACTCCTCCACTCATGTCCTCACCCCCCTGGTGTCTGTGTCCATTGGTTAGGCTTATATGCATGCATACAAGTCCTTTGGTTGATCTCTTCCCCTTACCCCCACACTCCCCTAACTTCCCTCTGAGGTTTGATGGTCTGATTGATGCTTCTCTGTCTCTGGATCTGTTTTTGTTCATTATATTCCACAAATGAGTGAGATCATGTGATACTTATCTTTCTCTGACTGGCTTATTTCGCTTAGCATAATGCTCTCCAGTTCCAATAAACATTTGGTAAGCACCAAGGATAGAGAAGTAAAAGATCAAAATAAGTTGGTGAAAAAATAAATGCAGGGAAGGGGGGTGGGGAAATGAGGAGTGCCAAAAGCTGGGTCTGAGGCTGGCTGTTCCGTTAGGCTGTAACTCTCTGATAAAGTGACATTTGTGCAGAGTCCTGAAGGAAACGAGATAGGGAGAGCAGCAGATATCCCGGAGAAGCTTTCCAGGCAGTAGTGCATGGTTGGGAGTTTAAAGAGTAGCCAAGAGGACAGTATACCCGGGGCTCAGTGATCAGGGGTAAGAATGGGAGTAGGTGGATCCAGAGAGAGGTGGCAGGCAAGTCATGTTGCAAAAGTTATGACTTTATGATAAAGTAGTTTCTTAAACTTGTGAAATTAAGGAATTGTTTTTTATCTAAAAATCAGCAACTTCTATTTTCTAATTAACCAGAATAGGCATATTTCCCCCCACTTTTATTGAAGATATAATTAATACATGTATTAATTTCACCACAATAAATTTAGTTAACATCCATCCCCTCAAGTAGTTATATATATTTTTTTCTTTTTATGAGAATTTTTAGGTCTACTCTCTTAGTAACTTTCAAATATACAATAGAGTATGGTTAACTGTAGTCACCATGCTGTATGTTAAATCCCCAGAACTTTTCATCTTATAACTAGAAGTTTACATTTTGACACCTTCACCCATTTCTCCCACCTCAAAGAGATGACTTGAAGGGAATACTATACCTGGTAGAGTTCAAAGTCTTCCAGCAACTGAGAGGCAGCAAAACCTCCTTTTTCAAATGAAGATACTTGAGGGACTCAAGAGTTTCAATGGTATATGCTTCCCATTCATTCATTCTCTCATTTATTAACAAACATTTATTGAACCTGTTATATACTAGTGACTGTTTTGAGCACTAGAAATACTTTTTTTTTTTAAAAAAACAAAGTTAAAAGCCCTACTGGACTTTCCTGAGAGTAACCCTGCAGACTTTCTAGAAGACTTAATTTTTTTTTTTTTTAAAGAACTCTTCCATAGAGGATCCAAGATGGCTACAGGACAGGTGAAAGCTACACACAGCTCCTCCGGGCACCAAACTGATTTATAGCTAAATTATAGAGCAATCAACCTGAATAACTAACTGAAGGACAGCTGAACAGGAACGTTATATTCAAGGGTTTATAGAAGAAGCTACACAGAGACTGGTAAGAAGGGCAGAGACGTAGAGGGGGCTGGCCCTTGCACCCAGGTGTGGTAGCTGAGAAGTAAGAAGGATATGTTGGCTGCAAAAGTCCCCTTGAGGACCATGGGGTCTCAACTCATGCTGGGACCCCCAAAACTAGAGCACTAGGGCCGAAAAGAGGAGCCTTCATAGTGCCTGGCAGCAAGAATCAGTGGGACTCTGTCCACTGGGAAGAGGAGGGAGTCTGCTAGAATCCCAATTGCTCTCCTGAAGGGCCAGCACACAGGAGCTTGCTCTTGGGCACTTAACTGGGACTTTGGTGGAGGGACGGTGACTCGTGGGTGTACAGAAGCCTGGAGGGTCGGCTACTGAGGTCCCAATCCCGAGTTAACATCCCGCACCACCTGCAGGTGCCATCTCCCAGGGTCGGGCTCTCCTATTCTTACAGCACTAGCTGGGGGACTACACTAACCCAGTCCTCCAAATGCTGGCGACACCTCCCTGCCAAGCTCAAGTCCAGCAGAAAG